GCATGTGCTTCGGAAAAAGGTGCAAACCGCGACCCTGCTTCCGGGCTCTGAGTTTTTTTTTCTGGTTTTGTTGTTGCCGTTTTCTTTCTTTTTCTGTTTTTATTTATTTTTCCCTTTTTGGTGATTTTTTTGTCGGAACCTATTGACAACGTAGTTTCAAAGATCTCAATGCGATAAATCCAACGGTGAAAACGCTTCATCGTTTGGACGTATGATTCAAAAGAGAAAACATTTCAAATAAACAAATTTATGAAAAAAGAGAGAGAAAAGTGGATCACCTGTCAGCACCTAAGAAGGTGATGAGTGACCTTTGCAAGAAATAACTCTTAACTAATGATTTCGGCGCTCCCCTCGTTACCTCGCTATCCATCAGCCTATGCGCCAAACAGGATCCCCCGTTGCATTTATTCCCCTAACAAATAGGAAGAAAAGGAAAATGGGCCGGTTGTTGATGGGCTCTGTGGCACCGGAAAAGCAAAGAAATAGGGGTCAGTTTGGTTCGAGGCCTGGCCCTTATGCCTGGCAAAAAGTAATGCCTGGATGTCGCCTGAGAAGTTGAAGAATTCTGCCTGCCCAGGCTTGCCTGGTTCATATGCGTTTGATGGATAGTCGCCGTACTATAATACTCCCTTCATCCAAAAATACTTGTCATTAAAATGGATAAAAAAAAATGTATCTAAAACTAAAATATATCTAGATACATCCCCTTCTATTCATTTTGATGACAAGTATTTCCGGACAGAGGAAATACACATTAGATAGATAAAACTCTGAACACCCATCATTTCCATGTAAAAGAAATATTAAAATAGTACCAGGCAGATGCATCAGCCCACCGGGCGTGTCAAACGGGACGCCTGGCCCAGGCTAATCATGTTGCCTGGCTGGCCAGGGCAGGCTAATGGCATTGACAAGTTTTTAGGCCAGGCTACAATAAGATGATTGAGGACACCAAGCAAACAGAATTCAGACAAGATCTCAGGCACCCTTCCGGCCAGAAAATCTTGCTTCAGGACATGATCCAAACATGCCCTAAGTAGTACTCTTTCTGTTCGGAAATACTTGTCGAAGAAATGAATGTATCTAGATGTAATTTAGTTCTAGATACATCCATTTTTATGCATTTCTCCGACAAGTATTTTCGGACGGAGGGAGTACTTACTGGATGCCACTCCGTCCAAAATAATTTTTTTGCCGCCGCACATGACGGACAGCGGCGCAGTCAATGCGGTGCCACGAGGAGCGCAGCGGCGGCCGGCCGTCACGCCATGTGGTGCGATTGCATGAACCGGCTGTACGTCGTTTCTGGTGGCACATGCATGCACCCTGTCGATCGGCGACCGGTCCGCCCGGAGATCGTGAAAAATCTCGTCTGCTTCTTGGGCCCGTGGATCACGAGCTTGTGTCCGGTCATCTGGTGTCCGTCCCATGCAGAGCATGGC